TAAGATGAATCAGTCTGAATAAAACTGTGATGATTATTAAATATTACCAATTAGGTAGATAGAATATGAGGCACATACTTAAATAACGCTGTGATTTTGATTTAATGGTACTAATTAGATAGATAGATAATTAAGCTAAGGTACATACTTAATTAAATAAAGATGTGATGAATATTAAATATTACCAATTACAAAAATAAAACTTGCTAAATAAAAATTGTTAATAATTAACCTTAAACAACTGTGATTTTTAATGTTTAATTCCTACTGCAATGAAACTACAAGTACCTATTGTTTGGATGCTAAGAAGATTGTTATTTAAGAATAAATAATTTTCAATTATAAACCTTGTTAATTAATAAAACACAGTCCTGATAATTTTATTTAAGGACATGTCTTTGTTTACATTTTAAGAAATATAGTCCTACCTCGAATGAATGAAACCGCGTATACAGCGATATGTCTTCATTGATGCATTTTTTAAATTCATGGGTGGCGATCTTAGGATGGTTAATGTATCCGTTAGAAAACAAAAACATTATTCTACGGTTTTATAAAACATTTTATTTAAATTATATTTTAGACACAGTTTTATTCTTTCCTGCGTACATAAAGGTATCATAGACATGTCTGACATGCTTACACTTTAATATCAGCGTAGAAGCAGTCATCTATCAGTTTTTCTATGAAAATATAAAAAAATTAAATATGTATAAATGCCATTATAAAGTTCCTAAAGATAAAACTTTGTAGAAAAAAAGTATTTATGTTTGTACACAGAATTATTTCTAGGGCAGTTTGAACATAAATTACGCTCTCCTGTAAACCTCGGTTTTAGACATGTCTTTATGTACGTAGGGGCCGTCAATCTGTTCTCGACGCCTCGGCAGTCTTGAAGGTTCGGACCTGTCCATCCTTTGGCTACGCGTAGACAGCGACGACCATCCGCGCGTCTACGGGTGCCTCTATAGGTCCCATAGCGGTAATGCCGAAACAGACCGACTGATCGACCACGTCCAAATGGCTACAGATTCATTGCTACAACAGGTCCCATCCGCAGAGATCGTGATCCTTGGCGATTTTAACGCCCACCGTGCCGAATAGCTCGGTTCACGTCTAACCGATCATGCAGGGAGATCTGTTTATGACTTTGCCTTGGCATATGATCTGACACAACTGGTTACTTCGCCTACGCGGATTCCAGATGTGGAGGATCATACACCTTCCCTGTTGGACCTTCTGCTGACCTCTCATCCGGACGGATATCAGGTTTCCGTCGATGCCCCTCTCGGCTCTTCGGACCATTGTCTGATCCGGAATGTGGTGCCACTCACGCTCCCTTCGCGGTTGCGTTCTGCAGGTTGCCGCCGTGTTTGGCATTACAGGTCGGCGGATTGGGACGGAATGCGGTCATTCTTTGCATCCTACCCATGGGGGCGGGTTTGCTTCTCGCGGGACGATCCCAGCGCTGTTGCTGACTCTGTCACTGATGTGGTGCTACAGGGAATGGAACTATTTATTCCATCATCTGTGGTACCCATCGGAGGCAGATCTCAGCCTTGGTTTGGTCGCTCCTGTAAGACTGCATTACGCAGTAAGCAGGAGTGTTATCAAGCCTGGGCTGCGACTTCGGCGACTCGGGATGTAAATACCAGCACACTTAAAAAGAAGTATAACTTCGCCTCCAGATCCTTCAAAAGAGTTATTGCCAAGGCAAAGTCAGAGCACATAGGCAGAATTGGCGAGAAACTAGTTCGCCTTCCTTTGGGAACCCGTGCATTCTGGTCTCTCGCCAAGGCTGTCCAAGGGAATTTCTGTAAGCCATCATTACCATTTCTGCACAGGGAGGATGACTCACTGGCCCAAGACGCAAAAGACAAAGCCGACCTTTTAGGCTCCCTTTTTGCGTCCAACTCGACTCTTGATGACGGGGGGAAAACACCGCCGACCATCCCGCGGAGTGAGTGCTCCATGCCGGATGTGCTGTTCTCACAGCGCTCGGTTCGCAAAGCACTGCTCTCCCTGGACATCCAGAAGTCGAGTGTGCCTGACGGAATGCCCCCAATTGTGCTGAGGACGTGTGCTCCGGAGTTGGCACCGGTCCTAACGCGTCTTTTTCGGTACTCCTACTCCCAAGGCGTAGTCCCGAATTCATGGAAGACAGCTTTTGTCCACCCGATCCCTAAAAAAGGCGACCGCTCAGACCCATCCAACTATAGGCCTATCGCGATCACCTCCTTGTTCTCCAAAATAATGGAATCCATTATTAACTGCCAGCTCATCCGGTACCTTGAGGATCACCAGCTGATTAGTGACCGCCAATACGGTTTTCGTCGGGGTCGATCAGCTGGTGATCTTCTGGTCTACCTGACCCATAGATAGGCGGAGGCAGTAGAGTCCAAGGGGGAGGCGTTGGCCGTTAGTCTGGACATTGCGAAGGCCTTCGATCGGGTTTGGCACAAAGCGCTTCTTTCGAAGCTCCCTTCCTATGGGCTTCCCGAGAAATTGTGCAATTGGATCACCAGCTTCCTTGCAGATCGGAGCATCAAGGTCGTTGTAGACGGTGCATGCTCTGACTACAAGCCTATTAACGCTGGTGTTCCACAAGGCTGTGTGCTATCATCAACGCTGTTTCTTCTGCATATCAATGATATGTTGCTAACTGGTAACATTCATTGCTATGCGGATACAGCACTGGTGATGCTCTATACAACGGCCGTGCCAATATTTCTCGGGAAAACGTCGCTGAGTACCGGAACAAACTTGTGTCTGAAGTCGAGTCTTTGCTGAACAAAGTCTCGGATTGGGGGCGACTAAATCTAGTCCAGTTTAATCCTCAGAAGACACAAGTTTGCGCGTTTACCGCTAAAAAGAACCCCTTTGTCGTATCTCCTCAGTTTCAAGGCACTCCCCTTCTTGCCTCAGCCAGTATCGGTATCCTCGGAGTCGACATATCGAGTGACGTGCAGTTTCGTGGTCACTTGGAAGGGAAGGCCAAATTGGCCTCTAAAAAGCTGTCAGCAGAGCGGGACAGTATTTCATGCCGGCACACCGCCTGCAACTTTACAAGGCGCAAGTTCGGCCTCACATGGAATACTGTTCCCATCTCTGGGCAGGGGCTCCCCAGTGCCAGCTCCTTCCACTTGACCGCATCCAATCTGGATGATTGGCGTTCCACCACTGTGCCATTTAGAAGATGTTTTCTTCCTCGCACGACCGCCTTGTGGAATCGATTACCATCAGCGATTTTTCCGGACCGATACGACTTAGGGACCTTCAAGAAAAGAGCATACTCCTTTTTAAAAGGCCGGCAATGCATCTGCGATTCCCCTGGTGTTGCAGTTGTTCATGGGTGGCGGTAGTCACTTACCATCAGGTGAGCCGCATGCTCGTTTGCCCCCTCTCCTATAAAAAAAAAGTTTGATATTACAAAAGTACCATTAAAACATAAAAGCTCCTATACATTCTACCTTATCGAGGTGTGCAAATTTTGACTAAATAGTTATAAGTTGTAATAAATCTTTACAATAATTATAGATGAAGTTTAATTTACTAATATAAATAAAAATGTCCAATTAATTATAAAATAAATGGCCAAAGAATAATTACGAAAAACAATGTCACACAATCGTTTACAAAAATGTCAAAATATAAATATTCATATGTACAAACAGTAAAAGTAACCAACTGATAATTATTTTATCGAAGTCTTATTTACTCATAGCAAAAAAATCAAGCCATTTAGATACAGATATTTAAATATGTAATTTGTTTTGATTTTTATGATCAAGATACTCATTTACGGTATAAAAACAAGTAAGAGCCATTCATGACGTATATTTTTTAAATTTATCATTGGGAAAACTTTAAACCCGTCGGGTAAAGAATTAAAGATTTTAATCGCCATTAAGTACGATTTTTTTGAAAGAACATCAATTTATATTTTAGAAGGTATATTCTGTTATTAGATTTTTCTCTTAAACTTCTATCTTTTAAAAAATGATTTCTTGGGAAGTATTGAGGGAATTGTTTGACAAAAATCGCAGCTTGTTTTATATACATACATGCGAGTGATAGCACTTTCATTTCATTAAATTATAGCTCGCACAATGTCATGGAATGTGATCCACAGATTGCTCAAATGCATTTTTTTTGGATACTTACTACTTAGTCTGGCCTGTGGTAACAAGTAACAATAACAATTTGGTTTGGCAGTTTTGGCGGGAACTTGTCCAGCAGGGGTTTGCTACTCTTGTATTATTGTTTAAATAATGGTTATTAAGTGTTTGCGCATGTGAAACAAGTGCTCTGATGGTGATGTGATTCTCAAGATAAGGTGTCTGTCTACTTAGGCGTCTTGATATACCATCGATACTAGGGATGGGCAATGGAAATAATATATTGATATATATCGAATCGATATTTTTATACAGTATCGATATATGTCGCTTGATAAAGATCGATATATCGTCATCAATTACATGATATAAAGATAAGGTCCAAAATTTTATATTACTGACGGATAGACGACGAAAAAATACGACAACCAACCACACATGAACCAACAAATAACCAACTACTTTTGGGCCTCCTTTTGTTGTTACATGTTTTGTGATTAATACAACATTTTAAAATATATTGAAATTGATACTAATTCGATACTCCAATATAAATATGGATATATCGCTATTTCGCAATAAAAATATCGATATTTCGATATATTGATATTTTTGCCCAGGCCTAATCGATACCATCATCAACTGTCAGCTGTCTGGTGGCTCAAGTTGCCGTCAAAATCTCCCAAAGGCTGCACAATGTGATGCATCAACATATTGTGAAGCAGTGTACTATTAAGGATACATTGTGACTTTACGCTCAGAAGGGCTAGAAACCAGAGCTGTAAAGCCAGTTATTCAAAAAAATATTTGAAATAACAATTTGGATAAACACGTGGGTAAAATTTTGTTTTTGCAAATCCTTCATAAACGTTTTAAGTGAAAATGGGGAAAATAAAGCAAGAACCAGTTGATGCCGATGAACAGGCCGATGTTTCTATAAAGACGGAGCCACAAAGTTATGACGAAAAAGTTGACCATTGCAGTGTAATTGCCAAGCCAATGGCAACGAAGAAATTAACTAAAAAGATATACAAGCTGATAAAAAAGTCTAGCTCTCACAAAAATTATATTAGAAATGGGTTAAAAATTGTTCAGAAGCAATTGAGATTGGGTGAAAAAGGGTAAGAATTGTGTTTATTAGAGGTTGTTATCTAACCTCAAATACCGATTGTTTGTTATATTGGAATCATTTAATATTTAAAACAAAACTATTTAGAGTTTTGTAGGCCACACAAATATTCCATACAGGAATCATATTCACGGCCAACAGTGGCATAGACCGACTTAAGCCACTGCGCTATTGAGCCAATACTTCTAATAAATGTGTTAACATTATGTGTAAAAATAAAATGCCATCTTATATGTATTTTTGTATTTAGAGGCACTTATTACAGGATCATCTTTATTTTTGTTTCAGAATTGTAGTGTTTGCTGGTGATATATCGCCGATTGAAATTATGTGTCACTTACCTGCAGTGTGTGAGGAAAAAGATGTTCCATACTGCTACACTCCTAGCCGTAAAGATATAGGCTCGGCCATGGGAACAATGAGAGGTTGTATAATGGTTCTGATCAAAGAACATGAAGATTATAAGGATTTATTTGATGAAATCAAAGGCGAAATCAAGTTGCTGGGTCATCCATTATAGAAATATGATATTAGTGTAAGGAATTAATTATAAATTGTTAAAGACATAAGTTAGTGAATGCAATAGATAAAAAAAACATTTCCATTTATTTGGTAAAAGTCAGCTTATTGTATGGACCGAATATATTTGCATATTTTGCAAGTTCAATGTTAGCAAGTGTTCATAATTCAAATGATAATGTAATGTACCATTAACTACATAAAATTCCACGTAGTAGGACAGTGTGATTGACTCTTAGAATCCCCTCAGAAATGAGAGGACTGTGCCCAGCAGTGGGACGTATATAGGCTGTAACTTTTTTTAACTACATAAAATGCCTTATTAAGGTGAAGTAATATCATACATTAAATGTGTGTATAAATACAAGATCTTTACAACACCCATAGAAATAAAATGCGATAATGAATTCCACTATGCAGCCACTCCTACACACTCCAGTACTTAGACAGCTTAGCATTTGTTTTGGTAACAAACTGGCCTAGTACACATTGTACTGGTGGAGCTTTATTGTGCTTATTTCGTTGATGCGGAGCCTGAATTATGCACTGTCTATAATTTTTATCAATCCATAAACTGTTTACAGTTAAGGTTTATTTCACACAGCAATGCTGCCAATCAGCCTGTGTGCCAATATCATGAATAATTGAGTTATTACAGTGTTCTTTTATTATGAAGTGAAATGGCACAATAATGTTGTACCCATTTCTATAAGATACCACTACATTTGCATCAAAATGTAAATATTCTGACTATAAAAATAAAGAATTTATTTTAAGTCATATTTTTTTAATTATTAATTCATATTTTCTGCCACAGACTTCCAAAAAGGAGAAGGTACTCAATTTGACTGTATACTTTTTTTTGTGTGTTACCTCATATCTTTTTATGGGGTGAACTGATTTCAATGATTCTTTTTTATTTGAAAGCTGATACTTCTCATGTGCTCCTATATGGATTTAATCAAGGTCAGATCAATAGCTATTGAGTTATTCTTAATAACTTATATTGAAATCTTCTGTACAAATTTTTTAATTTTAAATTATTTTGGTAAAACTGCATGTTGTACAAATATCATAAATTGAAATTTCCTTTACCTTCTGGGAGTATAGTAGGTAATCAATTTGTAGAGTATTAATTTATTTTCCTCTCTGTTATACGTTAGAGCCATGCTGCAGCTATATTAGTAGTATATTTGTAACACAAATAGGTCGGCTCAACCAGGGAAGGACCACGCTCTCACAAAATAGCAGCTCATCACTGCTGTGTTTCGTATGGTGAGTGTAGAGAACCGGAGACCCTTTTTACTGGAACTGAGGCATTCCATCTTAGTCCTCACGGGTGACATCTGCATTTTGATTCGCAAACGAAGATAGATGTAGATGTCTATGGGCCACTGCAACCACTTACCATCAGATGGACTGTGTGCTTGTTTGTCACCCTAATTCTATAAAAAAAAACAATAAGACTAATAGAAATTTGTAACCAAATAGACTGTACACCTATAACATTTTTTTATATCAATTCAATATAGTCAATTGAGTGTTATTAGTATATAAACAAAACACTTTGTCGATAAAGGAAAAGGGGAGATTTCCCCCCAAAGAATGTGTCAACAGTAGCAAGGAGCTGATCTGTATCCAGTACAAGTAGTAGGTTCGGAAATTTTGATAACATGATTTAAGCTCTGTTCCTTTAGTTTGTGACGTGTGGCGTGTGGCGTCACCTTCACACACAGTCCCAGCAGTCTGAACACCGTAAGCGTCGGCGGAGTCCGAAAATTAAGTTTAGGTTTGCAACAGGCTATTTTCCGTAAATCCAAGTCTAAAACGCGTAGTTTGTGTGGTTTTTCTTTTATAGAATAGGGGTAACAAGCAAGCACACAGTCTATATAGCACATATCCACCTGATAGTAAATTGATGCTGTTGCCCATATACCTCTATATATGTGGCCATATACCTTTATATCTATTCTCAATTAAGAATCGAAATGCCTCGTTTCCTGTAAAAAGGGTCTCTGGTTCTATACACTATATATGAAGCACAGCAGCATTGGGCTATTTTATGCTGGTATTCTGTCAGAGTGTGGTCCTTCCCCGGTCGATCCGACCTTTTTGTGCTACAACAATAATATAGCTGCAGCATGGCTCGACCACTTAAAAATGGGTTAAATAATATTGTAATTATCCAAGTCATATAGAATCTTAAGAGGTTCAACATCCCTTGATGTTGCCGACGACCTCAATAAGTGACCTCGGCGCGCTGAAATGTTTATCCCTTTATGTGACAGACATACCAGTAGCATGTGGACCGTCGTTTCTTCTTCCCTCATACATGGCCTGCAAAGGAGACTATAATATTTATGGTAAAGAAGTATTTGTTAAAAGAAACAGCAATAGCAATTTCTGCTTGTCAGCTGGGTCAATGCCTCTGGTACCACCATGACCTATCATAAGCCCACTGCTGAACACAGGGTCTCCCCATATATTACCTCATAGGGCGGCAACCGCTATATTTTTTAGACGCTGCTGCCCATTTCCTATTTAATTTTCCTCTGTCGCTTCTTACGACACCTACGGCAGTGTAAGAATATACATTACCCCATAATGTCCATATGGCGTTGTGGATATTCTAACAGTATTGTTGTATATACATTCCTCATTTGAGCTTCGATGGCATCCTTGCCATCGAAGCTCAAAGGCCGGAGCCTAAATCGCGCTATCAAAGTTCTAAAGTTACCGCTGATATATATATATATATATATATATATATATATATATATAGATATATAGAATAGCTCCGAACTACAACACGAGGCGTTGACGGTTTCCCGGGCTGAACACGGGTCACGGTCAAACTGGTGTCATCGACTTGATGTGAACACGCAACCAGCAATCTTCGGAAACTACAACTCCAAAAAACAAAAACAAGCCAAATGCGAGTCGGACTCGCGCACCGAGGGTTCCGAACAAATCCGTAGGTATATAAGTTTAAAATTTTAAAAATATTTTTATTATATGATGTAACTAAAAATTTATGCTTTTCGCAATTTTTCCTTTATCTGTGCTATAATACGTTGCTTCGTATCAAATTTTAAGATTCTGAGTTCACGGGAAGTACCCTGTAGGTTTTGATTCCCTTGCGAATGTCGAAAATTTGCGGCATAAACGGCTGTATCTTTTAATTGCGTTGGCTTAGAAGTTTGATTTTTTCACAACTCCAAGGGACAGTAGACTTGAGTATTTGTTATGAATTTCAGCTTGATACCTCCACGGGTTCCTGACAAAAAGGGTCTTGACAGACAGACAGATCTGATCCCTTTTCTGCCGACTTCCAAAACGGAGACGGTACTCAATTCGACTGTGTTTTTTTTATGTTAGCGAAAGAAAAAGATATTTACATATAATATAATACATAAACAAAAGAAAACCTTTTCCTCGCCGACTAGCACTTTAAAACACTTCATTTCATCACAAGGAACACTATTATCCTCCATTTTCACTAAAAATCTTTAAAAAAGCATAAACTTTCAACTCGCAATATTCATTCGCTCAAATAAACACACAGAGTAAACATTTAAATGTGAAGTGAACTTGCAAACGTATCGCCCGCGCTCTTGACTAACTTCACACCGAAAGCCCAGCTTATCGCTCCATACTAATTGCTATATAAACAATCGTAGTTATATTTCATTATAGAACATTTTGCCACAGGTTAGAAAGGGAGCGATCGTCTTCTGGAAAGCCCAGTAAAAAGTCTACGCGTGCGAGAGAGACGACTAATCGCTCAACTCAACTCCTTTTTTATGACAGCAGTATCGCGCAGTTTTGCCGCGCTTACTTTGCTTTGCATATTGCTTTGTTTTCATTAATTTCGACAGTGCATTGCGTGTTCGCTTTGAGACAGAGAGAATACGAATCAGTGTATTTCGAATTGAAAGCAATCTGCTAAGTGTTGACGTTACATAATAAGGCTACGAGGTCATGACCTGTGTAGAACAGAGGAGCGCGCGGGAAATTTCAAATAGTTTGAAACAGTTTACGAGTTATTTTATTAGTTGATATTATTAATTGAGCAGTTTGATATGGCAAGCCCGGCTTCTCGGCTTCTATGGAGGCTTCGCTATCGAATCACCGCACGGTGTTAGATTTTTGCCAACATTGTCGAGTCAGTCATTCCCGTCGTCTATGACTGAAGGTTACATAAGAAGTAATGAAGTTATCAAGACGAAATTTCATATTTATACCCTCATGTAGTGTTGTTAGCTAATGTTTTTTTTAATTACCCACATTATTAGCAAATATATTATAGAGAACATTGAACGCCCCTCGTAGGTACATACATACATCCACTCAAAATAACGTTACCTTCCTTTTGGGGCAGTCGGGTAAAAAGGAAAGGATTTGGGATGGAAAAAATTATGTTTTAAAAAATAAAACAATCCCATTTTTACACATACATTTATTACACTTATTAAACCTATGGGTATGTAAAAAATGGCAGATCGTCATTACTGACAGTGAAGATTGGCAAAATACATTAGGTACTTTAAATTATGCACTAGATTACTAGAATGCCAGCTAAGAAGTCTAGAACTGTTTTCTAGAATAGATTTCAGTGTTTTCTAGTCATGTGCTCGTACTTTAAACACTTCTAATAATTATTGTATGATTTCAATACTATATAATAACTGCGTATAGTGAGTTTTCCTACCTACTGTACACACTGAAATCTATTCTATGATTATAATCTAGTAATTGAAGCAATTTTTAGAGAAACCCTGCTTTCAGTGCATTGTTATAATGATATCGTAATTTAAAACTTTTTACATAATCAAATGCAGTAAGAAAATATTGAAATTCTTGGACTGACATTGTGTAGAATTCACAAACACATGATGTATGGATGTTAGTATTTTAATGAAAACCACTTAGATTATATAAAATGTCTTTATAGTCCAAGATCCCAGGGCCACCAGACGTCACTTATTTTCTGACGAACAA